CTTTTCCTTATAGACATACATAGCTTTGAAAGTATGATAAGAGGAGAGAGAGAGAGAGAGAGAGAGAGTCAAATAAAAATATATTTTAGAAATAAATAACTATTATATAAAAAGAGAAAAAGTATTTGTTTGAGAATATATTGAATAAAGTAATTGTTGTGAATGTGTTTCTCTAATATACCAAATGTTAGTCTCTCCTCGTCTTACGGTTCCGTTTTGGGTAACTTTGAGCTCAAAATCTCTGGCGTCGATCCAATGGAGTGTTTCACTGTTTAGTGGATGAGTTAAATCCACTATTGATCCACTCTTTGCAGCATCACTTCCAACCGATCGCACGATTAGTACCCAAACGGCTGTTATTAGCATTACTATCACTATTGACATCTTAATGGTAATGATGATCACAACCAATACTATTACACACAATCACTATTACATCCGAGAAACTCAATTAAAACTCTACTAAAGGCTTACTTACAGTACAGTGTATTTGGGATATTGGTATTCAAACACTAAAATTTTGTGTTTATTTTAGATGGAGTTTTTAATGTGATTTATATTCACGTTGTGTTCACACCATTTACACAAAAACAGAACAAATATTATTATCAAAATAGTCTCCACTTTTCAAAAAGTTTATATAATCACAAAAACATTGCAATTGTCTTGTATTTACAATGAAGGTATGTTTGCTTCACTACTATATACCAATCAATAGACATGAATATTATTTATATAAAACAAAAATATTATATCTCTTTGAAATTCTAAAGGTTTTCACAGAAAACTACAAAATATGATTTGTTCGTTCATCTAATGGTCTAAAAACATGTGTTGACTTAAGCTGTGCCACCATTTGGTTTGATGGTTATGTATGAATTGAGTGTTGGGTTAGATATGCCTCCGGCACTCGGTGTATAACTTGCTATGTTTTCGTTTGGGTCTCAATGTCTGTATCCCTCCTTTGGATAAATGCAAAATATCAGGTTTTGCTCCGACTTTTATGCCATACTTTCCATTATTTCTTTTATGTTGTTTTGTCAGTATTTTAAGCTTCAAAGTCAAGGCTAGGGTTTGTAAGATGTGGTGTCTATGAAAGGCGATAACTCGCCTCAAATGTTGTCTCTCTTCTATTTGGCTCATTATTCTGTTCGTAATCTCATTACTTATGATAAATTATTTGATGCATTCACTCCAATCATATCATTGCGTATGAAATGTACAACTATTTAGTTATTAAAAGCAATGATTCATTAGCTATTCCTTTCAATTCAGGTTTTTATGTTGTGTTTCTCACAAATGAAAACTTCATTATTTTCAATGAGAAACAAAATGATAATAATATACATGTATAAACATAAGTTTATTGACTTGTACATTTTTAAATTTAATTCTGACCATATTTTTTTTATCCCTATTAATGTTTAAAACAAAACGAAAACAAGGTTAACAAGGCAATGCTATGCGTTAACCATTATTCGGATGATGCTCAGATGTAGAATTAATTAGCATTCGTCCCAGCGATAGACTTAGCATTACCTATTAAATTATCATTGTCCATAGACTTAGCATTGCCATAGATTACTAGATTACAGTCCTAGATAGACTGTCAAATAGATAGAATATGTCAAATAGACTTAAGCTGTTATCCCATAGAAGCCCATTGGAATTTTTCCCTATAGAATTAACATTACTCATGTTAAGTCAATGTCATTGGATTAACATGTAATCCATTGTTAAATCCCATAGGGTGGGAAGCGGAAGTGGAGGGGACCGAACGATTCTTTAAACAACATTATTCATATATGAATTGTAATTGAAATGGTTTACTAAATTAACATTTATTTTTAGTTTATTTTTAAATTCAGTTATTTTTATTTATAATAGAAAAATAGCAAATTAAGATAAAAGCAGAAACAGATAATTTAAAGGCATATATTTACTGCATATTCTCTACAGTATATATCAATTGATTATTTGTTAGCAAATGAGAGTTTTATAGATTATATGACATAATATATAAGAATAAAGCGTTAGAAGTAATACCAGTTTGTAAAATGAAGAAAAGAAATTTATTAAAATAAATAATATATTTGGGATTAATCTTATAAAGTGTTATTAAATTGATTAATATCTCCAAACGAGTGTATAATTAACTAAATAAAAGCAATAATAATTAGGCCTTAATTCAACCCAATTCTCAAAAACTTAACTTTTATTTTTCATTCGATTGGGTTTTTGGGATTAAACTAAAATATTTAATGATTTTTCACATAAATATTGAGATAATTTTAAATTATTCTTATGTTTAGTGTCAGAGACAGCGATGAATGAAATAAATTGTTTTCTCAAAAATTCTTAAATTTATTCACACAATAGTTAAGCATATAATTAATGGCATAAAATGCTCTTTAATTTATTATCTTAAAACTCCAGTAAATATTTAAGTATTTCATAAATTCAAATCAAAACAAAATATTCGGTATTTTGCGTACAAATAACAAATAGAAATTATGGGTTATTTTTAAGACTCTAATTACAATCCAACTTCTCTATAAGAAACGAGTCGATGCACATATTTCTTATTGAGAAGGTTTCTCTTTAAGGGAGAATCTTATATAAGCACACTAAACGTTACAAATCACGAATAATTTTATTTGATAACTTGATATACTTATTATTACAACATAATAAATGAAATACTAATACAAATTACTAACAATTTTGTTTATATTTTTGAAAATCCATGATACAATAGTTATTTGGTCTTAGAAAATTAGTCCAAAGTTTTGGTTTGGAGAGAATTTAACAATAGGCTCCTATGGAGTGAATCGAGTCTCAATGTTTAAGTACAAGATAGATAAAAATCAATAAAATATGATCATTGATTTCTATAGAGAGTGCAAATTTTACCTAAATTTCCATAAATCCGTTATTAATCGGGAGATATTTTTTATAATTAAATTTTCCTGAGATAAGTTTCTTTAATATTAAAAGCATAGGAAATTAAACAAATATTTCAAAATTTGTTTCTTTTAAGGTTTCCTTTGAAAGAGATTTTCAAAAGAAGTTAAACTGTATATAAAAGTCTATTAATGCTGTAATCTTTAAAAACATTCACATTTCCACACATTATTTTATAAATATAATTATAATTAAATTATATTTAAATTAGTTTTTTCTCATTCAAAATTTAATATAATTAATATAATTATAGAGAAAATTGTTTTAATTGTCTTATAATTTAGGTATATTTGTTGGGATGGGTTATATAATTATATTTAGAGATGGGTTTAAATTGATGACACAATTCAGTCAATTGTTTAAATATTTGTTTTGTATTTCATTGTCTTTTGACTTAAAACGCTCTCATTATCTCTCGACTGGAAAGCATTTGTCTTAACTCTTATGTAACGTTTGAATAATAGATGTATTATTAAAACCAATTGTTTTCCATTGTATATAAAATGAGGGAATTTGTGTGTGATTTGAATTAATTTAATAACAAATTTAATTGTTGTTTGCATTGACCAACTCGTAAACGCTTGCAATCATTTCCAAGAGTCAGTTATTTTATTCAATAAGTTTTGTACTCAAACATTAACCAATCATTTCCTATCCAATCCATGTTTCTCTAAATTATTAATTATTATTTCGCATTATTATAAGGTTTAGTATTTTAACCTAAAGCTTATATTTAGCGCAAATATTGTTGTATTTTGAATCCTTAAAAGTGTCCAAATGTCATAACTCCTAAGTTTGTGATCTTTCGGTGAATATATTTTTGTAACTTTTTTAAAAAATACATTAAATAACATTTTTTATATAATTTGCAGCATTTAATAGATATAATCAATCAAATGGTATGAATGAGTGATCAAATCAACATTCAATAAGACATTAAAGTATAAAATGAGTTATTTGTTAAGTATTTAAATATAACTTATAATAAGTCATGTATTAATAAACATTTAACTTATTAATTATTATTGTCAATAAATAAGTCAAACAAATTAATTATATTAATTATTTAAATGTTTAAGAGGTTTACAGAAGTGCACGAATATAACTATGAATTGGTTTGCAATCATTTATGCATATTAATATTAAATAAATTATATAACAATTAATGCAAACATTAAATCAAATATTGATTGAAATATCAATAAAAATAGATTGCATTCAATATAAGCGCCAAATGCTATACAAACACACCATTTGTCCCCTTATTATAGCGTAGTATTGAATGCATTGTCTGATTGTCTGCGCACGCGTTCAATGCGTTCATCGCATCAATACATATGAAATGCCATTTGTTGTGCTTTTGTGTGCTTTTGTTGACATCCCATGTATTGTATGACTGGTTGTTGCGAAGTGTGGATCAGATGAAGACATGTCTGAAGCCATTGATGACAATAACTTCAAAGTCGAGAAAATACTAAAGAGTCGGCAACGAAACGGACGGATCGAGTATTTCGTCAAATGGCATGACTTTCCCGATTCAGGCAATACTTGGGAACCCATCGACCATCTCATCGATGGATGTCATCATTTGATCCGACAGTTTGAACGCATAGACACCACAGCCATCACTCACACCACACACACCACTCACAGCACAGACACCACTCACACCACACCTCAAGACAAGAGCGACGGCCAAACCCCCGCCGGCGCTCCCATAATCTTATTATCGGATTCGGACTCATTATCAGACACTTCAGACACTATATCATCGCTGGAACCGCACGACAATACAGTTGTGGATCCAATTGATCCGGTGGTGAATGCGGTGCCCGAAAAGGGGGCCAAAGAGTATCGGGTATTTCCCTCACACCTGATCCCAAAGGAAATAATAGGCGCCGCACACGACGGCCAACACATCTGGTTCTTTATGACATGGATTAACAGCACCGAAGAGTCGGTTGTATTGGGCTCTGAGGCCAACACTCATTGTCCACAACTTGTTATACAGTTCTACGAAAAAAGGGCTTTCTTTCAGTGATGGCATCCATGGCTTCGATTCATATTTCATACCATTTTCATTAATTTTCAATTTAATTATATAACCAAAAATAACTGTTAAATAATATAATAAATAAATTAAATTTAATTAATTTTAACTCAATTTACAGTACAAATTAAATATTAAGTTTTTGTTTTTGAAAGTTTACATAATTTACATAATTTTTTGACATTAATTAAAAAATTTGTGAATAAAACAAATAGTGTTAAACAAATGGCATTTATATGAAGCATAACATTGATTTTAGAAATAATCAATAGTCTCTCTCTCTCTCTCTCTCTCTCTCTCTTTCTCGCAAACATAATGTATTCACACAAAACTCTATTACATAAACAGTAATTCAATTTTCTCTTTCATAGTCTCTCTCTCTCTCTCTCTCTCTCTCTCTCTCCTCTTTTCTTTGTAATTTCTTTACACAATTCTTAACAATTCATGAATTTTATGCTAACTTTTTTCAATTGAAAAATAAAATGCAGAGAAACTTATTATTTTGATTTTGTTTGCATTTGAATAGACAGTCATCGCTGACTGTGTCTACCATTGAAATGAAAAATATTTGTTTGCAAATTCAAAAACAAATTGACAGATGTGTTGGTCTTACTATATATTTTTCAACTGTCTTTTAAATGACAGTAAATTTAATCTAAATTTTTCTATAAACTTATAAAAAATTATTCTTTTATTTCAATCTTCAAACAGTAAATTGATTTTTTTGCACAATTTTTGTCTGATTTTTATATAATTTTTCCTTGAAATACATTATTAAACATTTTCCTCGTTTAACACATATTATTTAATTTTAATATTTTAATAATCATTAAATGTCAAAAAATTCAAAATTTTATTTAAACATGTAATTATAGGATACAATCGGATGAAATATATATGGCCACTCACACGGGCACTCATTTAGGTTTGTTTTTAAAAAATATATTCAAATGTTGATAGGTTTTGTGATTTAGTAGTAATGAATAAAATGCATTAAATATTTGACTTCAATATGCTGTAACCATCACTTTTCCTTATAGACATACATAGCTTTGAAAGTATGATAAGAGGAGACTTTCTCATTTTGAGACAAATATCTTGTAATTTGTATTTTTCTCTCTAACTTGTAAAAGATTCCCATTGTTTACGGATTGTTGGGAAACAAGACATTTTCTTCTTTGTTATACAATATTATTTGCTTAATTATATTAGCAATAATAATGTCTAAAGTTATTGCCAATAATTGCTTTACTAATCTTAGTTTGTATGACTTCTAAATGTTTAAATTAATATTCAATAATTAAATAGTTTATGTTAGCTACGAAAAATAGTTTATTTGTATTGGTTGATGCGTTTGTAGATGCTCCATGTCATTTTGCACGTGGTAAGTGGTCGGTGGCCGATATTCCTCTTGAGAACTTTGTAGACAGACCGGTGGCCGTTATCGATATAGTGGACCAATCGGTGGCCACTCGTGACTATGAGCTGAGCGTTAGCGACATTAAAGAATGGGAAAAAATGAATGGAGAGATTGCGGACAAGTCAGTGATTTTAGTGAAGAGTGGTTGGGGAAGGTTTTGGCCCAAAAAATTGGAGTATTTCGGCACTGAAACCAAGGATATATCACTTCTACACTTTCCTGGCGTACATCCAGACGCCGCCCAATGGATAACAGAAAACCGCCAAATCGTGGGCATCGGTATCGACAGCCCCAGTATAGACAACGGACAGTCCAAACATTATAAATCCCATCAAATATTTGCTGCTAACAATATCTATCATTTAGAAAATATTGCTCAAACCATTCACAAACTGCCGGCCACTGGGGCTCGACTCACACTATTGCCCCTTAAGATAGAGGGTGCGAGCGGTACTTCCGTTACCGTAATCGCACAAATCGATGACAACAACGATATATCGATTTCAGCCAAATGTGCACCAAATTTATTGCTAGCTTTTATGCCCTCACTGTTGGCATCATTTGTAACATTAAGATATATTATCTCTTAAATTATCGTATCCTTTATGGGAAAACATTAGATCTATTATTATTACAGAAGACTTACGATATTGTGTTCACTAAATATACACAAATGCAATCTATAATATAAGCAATATATACGATTAAATAATATAATAATGCAAAACATATCGGTAAATTAATAAAATATGTTAAAAACATTTTTTACATTATTTGTATTAATATTTAAAACAATAAATTTCAATAAATATTATATTTTATGATTATTATATAAACATTCAAACAGTATGTTTAGTGGAGTATATTTTATATTAAACCAAATATAATATGATGTCTCCGTGTATTCTTATTTACAGAGTAATCATTGCATCTTTAGTTAGATATAAAGTAACTTTTATTGTAAAAAAAACTCAATAAAAGTGTAATAAAGTCAATATAGACTTCATTTAACTGATTGCATATATTCTAAATGTGAGTCCATTATCTGGTAAACGAATATTATTTTAAAGTGAATTTTATGTGTTAATCAATTAAGTATAAAATTTATTGTGGAATTAATTTTATTTTTACAAATTATATCATTTAAAGCTTAAATAAATTTAAATGTTTGTCTCGAAAATGCAATTTTCTAAAATGTCTTTTATTAAAAGCTATTCAATTGAGTGCATAAATTAGACTCATTTTAAATCTCTCTCTCTCTCTCATAATTGACGGTTATATGAGAGTCCAGACTATTAAAGTGATATGTATTACGAAAGTGTTTGAGTGATATAGAAGTGGAAAATTTAATATCAGAGCAAATAAATAAGAAAATAATTGCTTTGAAATTCAATCGATATCTTCTCTATAATACAGGAATTCTATGAACTGTTTTCACTCTTTTCTTATCGTATAAATCAAAGTTATTGTCTCTCAACTCAATTTTGATAATCATTTTAAACTATTTTAGACTAAACTCTTGTTTCAGTTATTTATAAGGAGTGATGCGTTTAATGCAATCATTTTATTGAAAAATAATTTTTTTTGTAGAAAAACCCTATTTATATTGATTTCGACATTTGAATGCCTTTAATGTATTATATTCTTATATTAATTATATTGAAACTTTCTGACAAGTGAGTTGTGAGCTAACATTTTGTAAATTATATTAAAACATATTCTTATTTCATTCTACAATTTATAACATGGTTTACAAATTGATTTTTATATTTGAATCATATTTGAATAGCTAGACTCTTAATGTCTATTGGTTGGTAATTATTACCAAGATATGCTTTCGTCACTTAATAGTATATTACTATACATTTTATAAATGACTCAAATTATATAAAAATATATAAAAATCAATTTGTAA